TTATTTTATGTAATCATCTAATAAAATAGATAGATATATACAAAAATAATTATTTTTAAAATATATATATAAAGAAATAATATTTCTTTTTCTAATAGCAATATTTTTTGTGTGAATTTTTTTTATGAAATCACATTATATACAGATATTGTTTTTTATATAAGAAGATATAGATATAAAGTATTTTTATTAGTATATTTTATGTTATTTAAAATATATTTAAATTAAATATTACTATTTGTGAACGTTCCTTTTTATTAAACCATATTATATATACTTATATTCGTTTTTAAATAGTTTTGTAAATTTTATAAATGTTTCCTTTTTATTTTATATTGTTATTTGAAATTTTTAAAAAGGAAATAATATTTAATTGTATTTTTAGTTCATTAGGGGTATTATAGTAATCAACCAACGTGAAAGTTAACGTGAGCGCGACACATAAGAAAGTGACTTCTCAAACAATTTTATAGAGATATGTTAAAATATGGGTGGGATTGGTAGCGTGTCCGTTACGTTTTTTCTAGGCATGTTAGTAGTGTTCGATTTTACCTTTGAGTGTTGGCTGGTGGCATCCTGTTTCCTATGACATCTCTTTTGTATGACATGTTAGTTTTTTAACGGAAAAAAGTTTCTCAGCTACACAAAGTTTACACTAATATGGTGGAAACCATCCAATGTATAAAAATGTGTTAAGAACTACACGAAGTATATGTTAATACATGCCACATGTACGAAGTAAATGATATTATGGTGGCAACATCACAATCGGATTTAATTGTTCTTAAGCTAAGTTAATGGGGTCAATCCGTAATTTATGAAACTTAATAAACTTAATTGATTTTAATTATTAAAGTTAATAAAATTAATAAACTTAATAAACATAATATTTTNTAAGCTAAGTTAATGGGGTCAATCCGTAATTTATGAAACTTAATAAACTTAATTGATTTTAATTATTAAAGTTAATAAAATTAATAAACTTAATAAACATAATATTTTTTAAAACTTAATAAAATTAATAAACTTAATAAACTTAATATTTTTTGTTAAACTTAATAAATTTATTAAACTTAATAAATTTATTAAACTTCATAAACTTAATAAACTTAACAAACTTAATAAATTATAAACTTAATAAGTTATTAAACTTAATATACTTAACAAACTTAATAAACTTAATGATTTATTAAGTCTAATACATCTTATTAAGTTTAATAAATCTTATTAAGTTAATAAAGTTTATTAAGTTTTTAAAAATTATTATGTTTAATAAGCTAGAATCCTAAAACTAATAAACAAAATAATTTCATAAATTTATTAAGTTTAATAAGTTTAATAATTTGATAAAATTAATAAACATAATAAACATAATATTTTTTAAAAAACTTACAAAAATTATTAAACTTAATAAAATTATTAAACTTCATAAACTTAATAAACTTAACAAACTTAATAACTTATAAACTTAATAAGTTATTAAACTTAATATACTTAGCAAACTTAATAAACATAATAATTTAATAAATTATTAAACTTAATAAATTTATTAAATTATTTTGTTTATTAGTTTTAGGATTCTAGCTTATTAAACATAATAATTTTTAAAAACTTAATAAACTTTATTAACTTAATAAGATTTATTAAACTTAATAGATGTATTAAACTTAATAAATCATTAAGTTTATTAAGTTTGTTAAGTATATTAAGTTTAATAACTTATTAAGTTTATAAGTTATTAAGTTTGTTAAGTTTATTAAGTTTATGAAATTTAATAATTTTATTAAGTTTAATAAATTTATTAAGTTTAACAAAAAATATTAAGTTTATTAATTTTATTAAGTTTTAAAAAATATTATGTTTATTAAGTTTATTAATTTTATTAACTTTAATAACTAAAATCAATTAAGTTTATTAAGTTTCCTAAATTACGGATTGACCCCATTAACTTAGCTTAAGAACAATTAAATCCGATTGTGATGTTGCCACCATAATATCATTTACTTCGTAGATGTGGCATGTATTAACATATACTTCGTGTAGTTCTTGACACATTTTTATACATTGGATGGTTTCCACCATATTAGTGTAAACTTCATGTAGCTGAGAAACTTTTTTCCGTTTTTTAACACCAATGAGTTTGATGTTTCCGATTTTCTGTTGCAATAACGTTTTCATTCTTCTCCATTCACTTTCACTTCTCTTCTCTAACACACAATTAGGATCTTACTATCCTATATAATGGATTTTGTAAGATACTCAAGTGTGAATGATTGAACATTATGAGACTATAAGTTCTGGTTTCTTTTGAGAAGTTGGAGAACTTACTCTTTATTTTTCAAGAGTTCTCATTTCTCGGCTCATGCTTTTTTCTTTTTTTAAATCAATTCATTTCTTGTAGAAATAGCTTCTTTATTTTTATTTGTAAAATGTTCACAGCTTATATTCATATTATATTTTTGTCTTCCAATGATTCACTTACAAATTTTTTGAATGGCATAGCATAACATAGCAACTCTTTATGTTATGCCTATCTTACTGTTTCTCCACACTGTGTATATTATCTTTGAGACTTATGCCCACCATTCAACTGAATATATAAAGTAGTTAGATTACTTCCACATTGTTTCTGTTTTACTGAGAGTAGAACATTATAAGATTTTGGCTTCAGGAAGTCCTTGTGTTCCTGAGAAAAATGAATTTGGTATGCAAGAGGTTGTTTTGTCCATGATGAATTTCGGTCTTGTTTCTTATTCATCTTTGCTTTGTGACTGATTTGACTGCAATCAGAAGCATGAGTGACAGTATAAAAGGCTAATCAAAACCAGAAATTCGTCAATACTACAAACTTCAACAATAAATAGAATATAGAGAGTTCATCCAAGAAGATAGAATATAGAGAGACAGACAAAACAAAAGAAGCAAAAGAAAACAAAGATATCCAAGCAACTCTTATAATAACTGTAAAAAAATTTATGTGGTTGCTTAAACTCTTCTGAGATTTTAAATAGCTACTAATTTACATTTTTCCATCAGAATTATCATCTATGTATATGTTTATCAAGAAGACCATCAACAAAATTACAATGTATATGTGAACTGAACACATAAGTATGAATGTAAGAATAATTTCTTTTTACCAAGATATGAGCGGAGGTTTGGGTAATGAAAAAAACCAGTAAATCTCTATAGTGTGCAATTTTTACATGTACATAGATTCCTATCTTTACCTCTTGAGAGGAAGAAAGGCTGTGGAGTGAGAACGAACATGGCCTTCGTGATCATCAACTGTATCGCTGAAAGTACCCATTCGGTAACCCCAAAGTGGGATGACACCTGTGTAATTTGGCGAGAACCCATGGTCTTCTGGGGTGGAAGGTCATTACCCTTAGCTCTGATACTCTTCTTCTCGAACTATTTCAGTGTTTTCCCAGTTTACAAAGTCTATATCTACACAGGAAAAAAAAACCAGACAAATTGGTTAGTTCATAGGAAGCCAAAAAAGCACAGAAGCAAAATTGTAATCCAAAGTATTTTAATGGACATCAAATTTTTTATAACAAAATAAGATCCATGAGAAGAAAAACGGTTCAACTGACAACAGAGCAGATAAGTTTACACAAACAATCACTAATCTTCCTATACCTTATTACAAAACCAAACCAAATCACGAAGCTTCCTAGTAACATAGCCTTGACCAACATTATCAATTTTTATTATGTTTCAAACATAATAACTATGAAACAAAGGATTACTACAAACTATAGAACACAAAAGCAGGACTGAAATAAATATTTGAGCTTTAGAGGTTTTAACCAGAAACTATTACTGAATCCAAATCTGTTTTGCATTCTTATGCGAACTGATTCAGATCCCAAGTACCATTAACCCACTTCCCATTCTGAAACATGATTTCCGTCGTGGTGGTTGGTAAATCAGTCTTTTCTCCAGCCTAGGAGCTTTCCGTTGGATATTTAGCCGGCACCTCCTATATAGACACACAATCAGGTTTCAGAATTTCAACGGTGGTTGCAGAAACAGGACCAGAAGCGAGTGTTGACGTACTGTTGTCGGGGGAAGCTCGAGTGAGAGAGAGAGAGAGAGAGAGAGAGAGAGAGAGAGAGAGAGAGAGAGAGAGAGAGAGAGAGAGAGAGAGATTNGAGTGTTGACGTACTGTTGTCGGGGGAAGCTCGAGTGAGAGAGAGAGAGAGAGAGAGAGAGAGAGAGAGAGAGAGAGAGAGAGAGAGAGAGAGAGAGAGAGAGAGATTTTGAAGATGAGATTAGGGTTTTGAAGTGAAGAAGATATCATTTTCATAGAAACACAAAGTAGAGAGAGCGCTTGGTCTGATCGAGACAAAACGACACAAACATCAGATCGCTCTAGAGTTTAGCCATGAATTTTTGTCTCCCATAAGGCCATAACTTTCTGAAACTCCATCTCTGTTTATCAAAGTAGAAGAGGTTGAAGAACAACACCAACCCTACAAAAGTCACAACTTTTGATGACGAAGCTACGACTTTTGGGCCAGTCAATAAAATCCATAAGGCCCAAATAGATCCCTAACGGAAAGGAATTAATTGAGACCTGGACACGTGCCATGCTAAGAAAAGAGTAATTACTGACGTGGCAGCCTAAAAGTAGAAATAAGTCTACTTTATATAAATAGATTATGAGAGCATCCGCAACGGGAATCCTTAGAGGTGAGTCCTTCGAGAATAAATAATTAAATAATCGGTACATCCCACAAAAAGTTAAGGATCCGATCCTTAAAATCTCTAAATAAGGATTTTTCTTAGCGAATCCTTACACTATTTGCGGGTCCCCGTGGCACGTGTCAGCCCGCGAATGGTCATCTTTTTTTTCTTCTTTTTTTCTAAAAAAAAAAATCTGAAATATCTTTACCAAATCTGAAATATCCTTTTCTTAAGGACTCCTATGAGTCTCACGGTTGCGGATGCTCTGACATATTTTCAAATTACAGGATACCATTCTGCAGAAGATGATGGAGCTGATGGATTATCAGCTGCCGGGGTCTAACACCACTGTGTACTTTTTTTGTGGTATGAGACTGTATCAACCTTTAGAGGCCTCTTGGTGACCACAGTTAATCCATGTAGAAACTGATTTCAAAACTTCGTACCGAGTTCCACCTTTAGTAGAATATGAACTTTACGGATAAATATTATTAGATCCAAAAATATAGGAAGAATATATTAGGAAATATTCAGTTTTCATATTTAAAATTCAATTTTTTCAAAAAAAAAAAGAAAATTCAAAGACAAAACGTTTTTCTAAAAAGGAAAATCTTTGCAAAATATTTCCACGGTTATTCACACGGTTCTTCTCACGCCTCTTCTCCATTCTCCCCCAATATTTTCACAGTCTTTAACTTGTTTCTACCATGATTCATGTCTATGCTTCATGTGGTATTTGGGAATCGGTTGTAGCTTCAGGTTGGAGGTTTTCTGTTGATGAAAAGAAAGGGGGAAGGTTACTTGCTTTGGAATTGAAGTCCTTTCTGGAAGAGTTACAGAAAGTTGTTATAGAGGATTTTGGTTTCCAAGATAAGGATGCTGATTTGGATGTCACTACAGGGCAGGTACAAACCCATATGACGCCTTCGACTATCAAATCTAAACAAACATGTTTGTTTTGACGCCAAACTTGCTACTGTCAAAGCTAAACATACTTGTTCTTCTCTGTATATTTGTTCATGTTTTATGTGATTATGAAAGTGGAAAAGTTGGTCGCAAATTGGCTAATGTAGGAGCATGTCCATCGGGCACTCCTTAACATAAGGTCCTTAACAAAAGTGGAAAAAAAAAAATCAGAAAGCCAAAATTAATACAGAACCGCTCTCTAAATTGGGATTTTTAGTTTTGTTAGGGAGCCCTATCGTGTTGCCTTCTCATTGGACCACCCATCAATTACTCTCTCTCTCTCTCTCTTTCGTCGCAAAAAAATCAGAAGATTTTCCTCTCCTCTTCATTCTGGACTTTTCCGTCTTCTCTCTGGAAATCAGAAGATTTGATCTTTATGAGCATGCATGGTCTCGATTTTGGTTTATCTCCCGTTCTCTGTTCGTGATCCGAAGAAGCAAGATAAGTTCGAACATCTCTTGTCTTCTGAAACATAATTTTTAAAAACTGATGTCAATGGTGATGAGGAAGATCAAATCTGTTAGCTTACTAGTAGAGTTTTGTTCGCCTGTTGAAAAGATTGAATGATTGTGTTTCTGGAAGTCGATATGCTTAAGTTATCCTTTGTTTTGTGTGAAGTTAGCGATGGTGGGAATGATTGTTTGTGGAAATCGATATGCTTAAGTTATCCTCTGTTTTCGTTTTATCTCAGTACAGAGAACAAGCTTTTAATTATACTTTGTTTATTAGTTGTGTGAGGGTTGAGGATGTGCATGGAAGAAAGGCAACAGAATTCTTGTTATTGATTACACTACTGGTGGGTTGAAGAACGTTGCTGTCAAGGATCTTAAGCGTGGTTACGTTGCATCTAACTCGAAGGATGACCCTGCTAAAGGTGCTGCTAACTTCACCAAGATTGATAGGCGTTCTGGTAAGGAGATTAAGAAGAAGCTCAAGTTTTTGAAAAATGGTGATGCTGGTATGGTGAAGATAACTCCGACCAATCCCATGGTTGTTGAGACTTTCTCTGAGTACCCACCGCTTGGACGTTTTGCTGTGAGAGACATGAGGCAGACTGTTGTAGTTGGTGTCATGAAGAGCATTGACAAGAAGGATCCAACTGGAGCCAAGGTGACCAAGGCTGCTGTCAAGAAGGTGCCAAGTAAAGTACCTTAAGCAAATCTTTATCATCTGCATACAATCTTAGTTTTAAGAACCTCAAGAGATTTTACCGATGGAGGATGAAAAATTAAATAGATTGATAGGGGTTCTAAAGTTTTCAAATCACAAAATTAAACACTAAATTAATCTCAAGTACCCATTAGGGGTCCTAATGGATGGAGATGGTCTAAATGTAAAACATATAAAGAAATAAATTAATCATTTGTTAATGCATAAATGTTTGCCTAGACTCCGAATAATAATCTCTACTGACTAGCTATTATTTAAACATTGTGAAATACGCAGAGCATGCATTGATAAAAAAAAGAAAGAATCAAGCTTTTCAACACAGATATTAGTTACAACCATCGATGATTCTGTAGCCGAAGCTACATGCTACCCTTAAGTGAAAGATGATGAACAAAACTGGGTAGACTAATAACATGGAGAGAAGAGAACCAATGAGCTCTTTTGTCTCAAATGTTGCAAGAAAGAAGTTAAAATTAAGAAACAAGAACTCTGACTTGTTGTTTTCTCCAAGTCTCTACAAGAATACTAAGGCAATGAGCAGTAGAAGCGAGAGGAATGTTAAGTTAACGAAAGAAGCTTGAGGGTGTGGGAAGCATCCAGAGGTTGTGGAGTTCGCTGAAGGAGCCAACGCCGTTGTGTTGTGTCCGAGTGTCTGATTGCTTTTAGCATTGCAAAACATATCGACCGTTAATGTTGACTCATTCAAATAATAAAAAAACGTTTGAATGTATAACTTCCAGGGAACACAGAAGTCCCTCTACCTGCATAGAGAATCAAAACATGTTTCAGAAACAGAACAAGAATGTTAAATCTCTTATTCAAAGAGGTGAGAGAGGTTTCACATACTTGGATCAGTAGATGTAACCGTAGCAACTCCTTTAAAATCACAGATCCCTGAAGCTTTCATCATCTTCTGGTAATAAGCATTAAACGCATAACTAGAAATGCAACCACATCATCAGGCTCATAACACGCCTCACCCTGCATCAACGCCGAACAATCAACCTTCCCTGGCCCACAAGCCCAATCAAGAGCCGCCTGAAGCATCTTCTTATCAACCTTCTCCTTAGCTACACAAAACGTCTGGTTCGTAGTATCATTCGCCACCCCCCCCCCTGCGCCAGCCAAACGCAGCGTGTAAACCGGAGTCCCGTTCGTATGAAACAGCCCCCAGTTCTTCTTAGACAAAGGTCCATGCCTTAAATCCTCATTACAAAAGCTCGTAAACGTATGTAGCGACCGGAACACCGGGGTGTTTCGATTCAATTTTAAGTACACCCTCGAAGGCGAGTAGAAGAAGAAGAGTAGTTGTTAGAGGAGAGCTTCGTCGCAACAGCGAGATGAAGGTTGGTGAATTGAGATGAAGGTTCCTGAATCGAGATGAAGTTCGAGAGGCGGTCACAACTTCTGGTTCCTGGAGTTCTTCGAAACAGAGAGAGGAAGGAGAAGAATCGAAACAGAGAGAGGAAGGAGAAGAATCGAAACAGAAAGAGGAAGGAGAATCGAAACAGAGAGAGAAAGGGAGAGAGGAGGAGACGACGACAGTGTTTGTCGGGGAAGGGGGTTAGGTTTAGAAAGGGGTTTTTTTATCCCCTTTAACAATTATTATATTTAAAAAACAAATTATAAATTAATAATTCGTAATTAGTTTATTATTAATTTAGAAAATATTGATTTTAATTAATAACTAGATCCAATCCGCGCAACCGCGCGGATATTTGTTTTCATTTATTTTTATATAAACATTTTTTTACTTTTAAATTGGTAGATATTATATAAGGTGTGTATATCAAAAATAATGATTAATTATTATATAGTATAGATTAATTATTGTTACAAAATGATGATTTTGTTATTTTTAAAAATAAACTATATAATTTTTAAAGTTAACATCAAAAATATATAAATAATTAACTTATACTATTACAATATTAAACATGTATTTTTTATAATCTCTATAAATCCAATGGATAATCTAATTTTTATTAGCCCAAAAACTTCTAGTAAGCCCAATAAATGTTATTAGTGAATCTAATGAATATTATTAATGATTGAATAATGTAATGTCATAAATTATATTAGATGGTCCATTTTAAAATATCACACATGAACTGAAGTCATGACTTGTCTTTTAATATATAAGATTTGGAATTATTATATATAAAATCAATATTTTCTAAATTAATAATAAACTAATTACGAATTATTAATTAAAACTCTATAATTTAAAGGTAGTATTGCCATTTAGAAAATATTTAGCCTAATGGGACAATAAGTGAATAGATTTAACCTAAGGGGACAATGTCCAAACCTATTTAGCTTAAAAAAAAAACTATTTTCTCAAATAATTCAGCTAGCTGAGATGGTTAATAATGTTGTACATCAGGGGTTGGATGAATTCGGATATTCACAAAAATTAAGATATCCAACTTCAGATCCGTTGTATCCATGATTTTAGTATTTGGATCCCAATCCATAGCTTTTGCATATCCGTCTAAATATTCTACTGAGAATCCGTAATTTTTTTTTATATAAAAATATATTTTTAATACTAAAACTCTAAAATTTTACATAAATTAAATACTTATATAAAATTAATGATATATATTATTTATTAATTATATATATATATCAACTATAATTATTAATAAAATGTAATTTTTAATATATTTACAAAAAATGGATACAGATATCCGGACTTAGAAAGCAAAAATTCCAGATTAGGATCCGACATTTTACTATAATGATCATGATCCGAACACCCTGGATATCCTATATACGGAGTAGATCTGGATTTCGGATTATAAATCTCACCACAATTGTTTACCCCTTTGTTGTCTCAAGATTAATTCCCCATAAATCTGTTACTAAATTTTGCGCCCAGAAAAAAATATTTTGGATTTGCCCCAGATGATACACAACATCAATTACATGAATGCCATATCATTTTAATATTTGATTTTATAATTACATAAATGAATATAAAATATTATTTATAATTGTAATTATTAGATAATATATATTAAAATTAATCATTTTATATTTTAAACTAAATTTGTAAACCATATTTATAGTAAACTTTAGTATACTTAATAATTTCGATTATATTATTTATATACTTCTTTCAATGCCGAAAATATATATTTCGTTTATAGTTACATCCACACTTACAGTAAGTAATATCTGATATATACTGACTCCAATAAAAAGATAATACTATCAAATTCTAACGAGAAAATGATTTTTTTAAATTCCCAATTATTTGAAATCACCACATTTATATCAAATTATTTGTTGCACATATTTAATCTTGAAATTATTGTTGACTGTGCAAAATCAGACATTAAAAATCAAACCTAATTATTACATGATGTATCAAACGTTAATTATTACAGAAAAGGGACCGGTTTGGCTTTTAAAAATCCAGAAATTCTTAAAATCGACTATGTAGGATAATGGAAGAGATTTTCGTCGAATTCAAATAATTTTCGGTCATAAAAAGAAAAATCCAGTGAGAATATAAAACTTTCGTCACTGAAATTGGAGAACATGATCCCTTTCTCAAACACCAATATTCGCTTGTTCTCTCTTGGGATCGCTCAGATCTCGTTGATTTTAGCTAAATTACACAGAAGAAGTGGATATGCAGAAGCGGAAGCGTTTGGAAACGTGGAATCAGCATTTTATAAATTTTTAGGAAACAGAAGGTGTTGGAAGCTTTTTAGTATATATATATATATATATATATAATTATTATTAATCTGAATAAATATCATTTTAATGTTAATATGTTAATATACAAAATCTTAAATGAAATTTAAAATTAAAATTTAATATATAAGTCATAGTACATGAATGTTGTTATAGTTATCAAATAAAAGAAAAAAATATCAAAAGTATATTGTTTTTTATCAAACAGGCATTAGTTGTTCTCATGTTAATTTCATGAAATGAATCATACTATTGTTTTTTCATATTTATTTTTTTCTTTAATGTTGGTTAAAACAAAAATTCATATAAAATTTGTAATTTAAGTACACGTGTAACTTGAAATCCCTAATTGCTTCTTCTCCATTATAACCTTGGTGACTACTATTTCACATGATAAATTATATACATCTCGGTAATTAACGAGTATGGGTATTTGTCAAGTGATTTATATCTTTGAACGAATCCGGCTCATTCAATCATGCGTTTCCAAACTGGAATCAAAGCTTCCCCTGCGCTTCCTTATTTGACTCTTTCAAAATCGCCATTCCAATCACGATTCCAGACGTTTCCGAATCCGTTTCCGCTTCCGAAACAGGAATCATAGATAGAACAACAATTCCATATAACATAGGATTTTAGGGATTTATGGGTTTATTGATACATGCTCAAATTACCCTATAGAGAAACTTACTCTCTCAAATAAGAGATTTACTAGGCGATTTTCCCGTACTCATGCACGGGCATGAATATTTATAAAATAAATATACAATAATAATTGATTGATGTTTACTTTAATTTTTAAATTAATTTATAGTTTGTATGTCTAATTTATATTATAATACTATATTACTTTAAATATATATATAATTTTAGATATGTTATATTTAGTATGTTTTATTGTTTTTATGGTCGATTTAGTTATCATTTAGATATATTGGATTCTATCTATTTCTCTGAATTCAACTATAATCTTTTATATTTTAAATATATTAAATTTTTGATTAATTGTCTTATTTGAATTTATGCTGGTTGTTATCTTAGATATATAAGTATATTTAGTAAGATTATATATAACTTAAGATTTTTTTTGTGCTTAGAGGGAAAAAAATAAAAACTAAAGTGTCTGATTCTAAATTACATACATAAGTAACTAATGAATTTTTAGAAGCTTATGAACACATATCAATATTTACAATAATTAAATTATTTTATAAATTATAAATAAATTTATGCTTTAGATTGATTGGATGGTAAAACTGAAATTTATTTTAACTAATTTTAAAAATAAGGATTCTGATTTGGTTAAGTATTTTGACTATGGTTATATTAAGTTATTTTCTGTTTTTATGTTTGTGAAACTTAATATAACCATAATCAAAATACTTAAGTAAATTAGAATGTTTTTTCTTAAAACAGATAATTTTAACTGTTAAAATATAATATATCTACCTCGTTAAATTATATAGTGTTATGATATTTTAAATAATTGTAGTTACTTGATCAAAAGATGTTTATTATTAAATTTATTTTTAGTTTTATTTTTAATATCTCTTAAATAGTGAGTAAAAATGATTGTTTTTGAGAAATTATACTATACAAGTAAAATAGAATTTATATGTTTACTGTAATTGTAAGATATTATAGTCAAATAAATATACTAAAAATAATTTCAATAATACTAATTATAAAAAAAAATGGCGACACCTAAGAAAGTGACTTCTCAAATAATATTTCTTTTTCTAATAGCAATATTTTTGTGTGAATTTTTTTTTATGAAATCACATTATCTACAGATATTGTTTTTTTTATCTGATAAGATATATATATAAAGTATTTTATTACTTTAAAGGTATATTTATGTTATTTAAAATATATTTAAATTAAATATTACTATTTTGTGAACTTTCTTTTTTATTAAAGCATATTATATACTTATATTTTCGTTTTTAAATAGTTTTTTAAAATTGATAAAATTTTCCTTTTTATTTTATATTATTATTTGGAAATTTTTAAAAAATAAATAATATTTAATTGTATTTTTAATTCATTAAGGGTATCATAATAATCAACCAGCGTGAAAGTTAATGTGAGTGCGACACCTAAGAAAGTGACTTCTCAAATAATATTATAGAGACTGGAATAATTAGCGATTGGATTCACAAGGAGCTATTGAACCTATTAAATATAATCAAACATTAA